GTATGTGCTCTTGTCATTTATGTAGCACAGCAGCAGTCGCAAAAGAAATGACAAATGGAATCATAATTAGCACAGCGAACTCGGCGATTGTTGCAATCAAGCTACACATACTTGCAAGTGATGCGTGTACGTGTGTTTGTGTGTGTGTATACGCACGAAATACATAATTCGGATGAAAGTAACAGTCTCTTGACGCTCCTTCGAGCTCGGACAGCCCCAAAAGTGCAGACGTTTCACCGCAAGCGAAATGTGGATCGTGTGCTTTTGTTGCTGCTCCGCAATTTCAATATATGCGCAGCAACTCCTCTCACTCTCGCGAGGCTGGAAAAATAAACTACATATTATGCGCGCGAGTAGCGAGCCGGGCTCGGACTCCGCACGGCGGGTGAGAAAAAAATCGCGCTCGAATCGGTCACGCTCGTCTCGATCGTCCATGCGTAGCCGATCTCGGCTCGATCGCCGTCAGGTAATACGTAACGGAGGAGGCGTCGACGCGCGCGCACGCACCGATCGTAAACATCGAGCCGATTAATAAAGTGCGAAGACGCGCAATAAATAACGTCACAGCGAGCGATCTCGCACACGGGCGAAAATGTTCTTCGCGCGTAATAACACTGCGCTTTAAGCGATCGATCTTTTTAATTTTAATGCGCGTACGAGCGAGACCGCCACGGGTGAAAAATGCGCCGCGACGATCCTCGCCGATTTTACGGAATTTATTATAAACCGCGTCCTGATCGGTTTGGCCGGACAATAGCGGGTGACTACGCAACTCGACGCCGAAATCGATCCGAATAATATATGTGGGATGAAAAAAAAGCAAGGGCCGATAAACAATGTTTCGCGCGAGCGGTGAGCGACTTTCCCGACGGGAGCTGCTTAAATCTTTTTGTGACGATCGAAAGACGTGCTCGGCATGAGGCAAAACAAAAAGCTATAAATATATGTATAACGTGTCGAGAGAGAGACGTGGTGCGGAGGCCGATCTGCGCGAAATTCGCGAAAACAAGCTCGAGGTATAGGCCCGTTGCGCAATCACGGCTCGCTCTAAATCCATAAGTATACGAAGCGTATTGTTTTTGAGCGCAAAGTAGTCGTGCATACGTATATCTGCAGCGCGAACGACGTGTCGAGTCGCTGACGTGTGTGTGCTTGTGTATATATAATATACGAGCTCTCGTGCTGCAGAAACGCTGTGTACAGCTTGGAGCAAAGTCGCGGGGCCGGGCCGCACCTCGGCGATCTCGCGCTGACAATGTCAATGTCGTGGTCACGATCGCTCTCGCGAGTCAAGGCGACGGCTGCCGCTCTTGCTGCCGCTCCGTAACCGGCTATTCGACATTTTTCGCCGTGGCAAAAAAGCCGACCTCGTATATAAGCACGAGCAGTGGCAGGAGCCGCGAGGCATGGCGTACGTTTCATTTACACACACACACGACATTGAAAATGCAATTGCGGGACTTTTTCTCGATATATCGCTCGGCGCGGATCAACGTACTGCTACTACTGTTGCGGAGCCGCCAAACTCGACGACTTTTCTTCCACTCGGGCGTCATTATAGCAGCGCCGAGGTAGAATGTAAAAATTCATATTATACACCTAGGCAGCGCGCGAGTCGCAACAACACAAAGCGCGAAAAGCGAAAGGCGCGCGGATACTAATTCTCACGCGCCCGTCCGCAATGCCCGCGCCTGCCAGCTCTATAATTACTAATCAATAATGCTTGGAAGCGACTTTACCTCGGCTACAACTGCAGCCGAGAGATGAGAAATTCTAATGGCTCATCTCGATTTATTGCGCAGGATCAGCTGGTCTGAGATCGTAAGGCAGTGACCAGATACAGGATAGAGTTCACTCATCGCGCGGCTGCAGCAATAATAAAAGTACGTATAGCGCCGGATGATGTCTTGCGGTTCGCGCGCACCGCGCCACGATCATATTGTTTAGCGCCAGTTCGACTAAGTATACCACTACCACACGGAGAAAGCGCCTGAGCTAAATTCGAAATTTCAAGGAATGCATTAGGCCTCGACGTATCATTTTAGACTTTTTGCATATATTCCGGCTAACGTCGAGGCAAATGGGCATTTGACAGGTTCATATGCACACACGTGGAATTGTATAAGCGCTGCAAGAGCATATAATCGGTTCACACGAAACTTCATCGTCGCGGGCACGCGCCTCTAATGATAATAAATCTAGCTAAATCGCCGCGAGCTTACAAGCCAATCCGAGCGCCTACCTCGAGGACGAAAAATTGTCTGTAGCTCGGATCGTCCTGTATTATATGGGCCTCTTTTGTGCGCCATGAATCACTGATAATGAAAGATCGTATTATTTATGGTCGGCGCGTTTTATTTACAACGCCCGTGTTCCTATTCGTATGCTACACTTATTTATAGCTAATAATGTGTGGCACGCGACTCGACGCTGCGGCGGCACGCTAAATCATCGAAATTTTTCCACTTGTGTTAATGCTGCACAGCTCCTCGAAGTCGAGCTCGTTCGCATGAGCCTGCGTGTGCGGCTTTTCCGATTTCACTCAGGAACACATATTTTTCGACCGCAGAATCTAATTTTATGTACGATACATTTTATTGCCTCGCACGGGTCGTTTAATCATTTTCAGCAAACGCGTTGACGAGTCCGAGTCAAAACACTCGTGCATCTGTGCAATTTGGCTGGGATTACAAAATTGTTTGCTCAAAAATCATCGCGTACAGGTTGGAGGCAAAGGATGCCTCGTAAAAGCTCGTATAATCGTTAAATGCTATTTTTAGGCATCGTTCCAGGTAGTTGGTGCGGAAAGAGTCCTAATAATCTCAGCTGTCAAAAGAGTCTCGGCAATGGTGGAAAGTATTACCCGTTGGTGTATAGGTATTACTCGTGTTTAACCTTGCTACGTAACCTTGCCGTGTGAACTTTAATGGCGTCTATATACAGCGCGCATAATAAAAGGTGGCGGCGGCTCTTTCTCCATCGCTCGGCACTGCTCATATATGTACTTATGGTTAGCAGCCGGTCAGTCCTGTTCTCGATCACTTTCTCCGAGGCGAGCTACTAAATTGCCACAGCCCGCGCCTCTCTCGCATGTGCAAAAGTTAGTGCCTATATACTATATATAGGTGGACGCATGCAGGACGCGAGTCACATCAGCAGCTCGGACACATTGTGCGATTGCGCCCAAAGAAACGCACTTGCCTGCTGCCACTTGCTTTTCTTGCCGCCGCCGTGCGATACGCGGACGCATCTTTCACTCGAAATTCACTCTCGTTCCAGTTCGCGGAGCCAATGCGCAATGCGTTTCGGCCGGAGAGACGACGGCGGGGAGGCTGCTGTTGCTCGTGCAGCTGCGCCCCTCCGACTTCATTACCGATCGACTTTTCGTTTTGTCTTTCTCTTCGCTCTTATTCAACTTCTGTGTCTCGCCTGACTTTATGTATGCACGTACGCATAAACATTCAAACGCGCGCACACATGCTGCGTATAGAGAGAGACAGACAGAGAGAGCCGAGTTGTGAAAATGATCGAGAACGATCCATGTCATTATATCGACTACTTATGTAATTATTTTCGTTTTAAAGGGAAATTTTACTTTTATCAAAAATTATCATTGGAATTTTGGTACTAAAATTTTACGACACGATATAGCGCCCAATTATGCTGAAATTTAATTCGCAAATATAATCATCAACCGATTTTTGACCATTGAAAATTTTGTTGCTTTTCAATGATCTCAATAGAATTGAAAAACTATAAAAGCACAATAAATCACATTTAATCAAAAAATTCGAGAAATAAAAAGCTCTACGTACCTTGGAGCTTTCTATTAATGCATTTTGATAATGTTACGAAATCACAGGCTTAATAATAACTGCAGTAATTTAATTGGCATCTTATGTCCAGGTTTTCACACTGATGACTTGAGCAATTCTCATCTCTTTCATAAATTGACGCTTACATATTTCGATGGGATACGTGGCTATTTTTATGTAACAGTCTTTTCAATAAATAATTGGGATCATCAGGAAAAATAGCTGAATATTTTGACAAGTTGAACAATGTTAATAATTGATAATTTCAAGTAGTTATTGTAAGTTTTATAGTTGCTGTGTTTATCGAATGATTTATCATCTCATCAATATCATTTATTAATAATAATTAGGTTATTATTTTTTAAATATTTTTTAAAGAATTAATGATAAACAAGGGTTTAAGCAACTTTTCACAAGGGCTCTAATGATTTTTCCCTTCAATTCGACTCACACAAGATGGGCAATAATTAGCTCTTAAAAGTAGTGTCGCGCCTCTGGAACGATAAGCATTCGAAACAGGAGCTGTGAACCCTAAACATAAGCCGAGCTATGTCGACATGACGCAGCTCTTCGCGTGTGCACACGAGAGTGCAAGTAAGAGTCGCGCGCGTCACACTCACTCTCGCTCTCTGCAGGGACTCGAGATGAAAGCATCGTATATACCGCACTCCTCGCGGCACCCGGGCTTCGGTGCGCGGGGAAAGGACCCGTGCCGCTCTCGACGTGCATGTTTGTGTGGGGAGACTATTCCGGACGTCCGGACCTATAGAGCTGGCAAAGTCCGCGTAGTAGTGGGGCCTTACGTTGCTGAGCTCGCTGCGGTAGTGTATTGCTGCCCCCACGTGCTCGTATCCCCGTGGCTGACTCCGTCGCGTACATGCGGCCGTCCGAGCTGCCACTTGCACTCGTTTTTCGTCCCTCTGCCGTGTGTACGAGCGAGTGAGAGCGAAAATCCGCCCGAATATTCGGTAGAGGGAGGCATGCGAGATACTATAAAACCTCGACGTTCCGGCCAATTGGCCCAAGTCAGGGCGCGCTTTTCCCTGTAACGAGTCGTCGCGTCGAGCGCGCTCGAAAATCCCAAGTGTGCTGCGGGGCCCGCAACCAGATCTCATTTCTTTCTCAACTGCCTGACCAAGAAGACGCACAGCTTAGACTGCCGAGTGTTCGACGCAGCCAGCAGCCATGAGGCTTCGACCAGGACGCGCGGTTAGTGTGACCACCTACCAACACGAGCAACGATTTTACGGAAAATTTTTTAGTGCTGTGACGGAACTTTCAAAGACGATCGATTCAGTGCTCGGTACAATCGCGAAGTGTGTTGACAAAATATTTACCACAGTGTTTTCTCGAGAAGCTCCATGTTGTATTCAACGATTTCATATAGTTATTTACAATATTTTTGAATCCGGTATTTTCGAAAAAAAAATTTTACATAAAAAATAGCAGAGAGCCTGCCTGTTTTTCCGCTGTCAGTGTATGCGAAAGCTTCGAGTGCAAGCTCCATGCAGTTCATTGTTAAGCTCGATGTTTCGAATATTCGAAATGTTATTGAGATTTTATCATTCGTGTAAAGATAATTTAGTGGAATTGTTACCTAGAATTTATTTATCTCGTAATATTGAACCAACAATGCACTTTATATGTAAATCAGTTTAGTTTCCATAATTTGATTCAATCACAAGGTTTGCTATAATAAACTATTAAAATTCATGATTCTCCAACACTGTTCAATGTAGTGCGAAGCGCGTGGACTTTCGCACGGCTTTGAAACATTTCACCGTGAAAGAATTTCCATAAAATAAGTATAATTTTCATTGCTCGCGCCATTTCATTTTTGCACTATTTCACAAATAAATAAATTTAATTCCATGATATTTCGATATAACTAAAAAAAAAAAACCTGGAATGTAAATATGCATTTTTTTCGCCCAAAGATGAGTTTAAAACTTGTGCGCTCATATCGCGAATAACAATCTTGTCAGATTTCTTGTGCTCGGCAATATATTGGCTAATTTATTGAAAAAATTACTAGGCGAATTTTTGCATACAGGTAGTTTACGGCGATCGATATAGCATCGGAAGTTTATCGAGCATGAATGAGGTGCAGTAGCCGGGCACAGAGATTAACTACGCCATTCAACGGGCGCGCGGCGAAAAGCCGCAAAAATTTTAATTGATTGCTAAGTGTTATGAACATTTAGCAAATAGAGAAAGTCGAAGAGCCGTCGAGGAATAAGATATAGCCGATAAACGTCAATCTCGGGGCTTATAATGGGCAGCTGCAAGCAGCAACGCGGTACAACCGGCCGCCGCTCGCGAGTACCGTGCGTACGCGCGCCTGCTTTACAAGCTCACAGATGAATCCCTTGTACGGAAAATATATGCGAATTCACCGTTAAGCCTTTTAATATTACAATATCTCGGCTCGGCGATCTACATTGTTGCGAGATTCTAATCCAACAATCGAACAATCCGCAATGAACTTTGATTTCGTTCGACTTGTATAGCATACATCCTCGAGCTAGTCGAACTACAGACAAGCCAATTCGAACTCGAGAATCGTGACTCGCGCTTCCGGTTCGCCGAAATTCAGTTCGCCTATTTATGTATAGGCACGCATTATCGAATGGCTAACGCGGATAAGAGCAGGCTGCACTTTCGATGTGATCGCGCAAAGCAAAAATTTTACGCGCACGTGAAAGCGTACATTAACACGACTACATCGACGACGACGACGATGACTACGAAGAGTAAAAAGTAGAGCGTATTACGCGACTGCATACATTTTCATGGAGCTTCGAGGCAGGCTCGATCGAAAGTTCGCCGCATGTAGAGGCGCGCGTCGGTGCATGCTCGCGATTTATAATAATGGTAATGAGAAAAAAGAAAGAAAAGAAAAATTCTGGTCGATCGATCGATCGTCGACAGTCTACATGTGCGACATGCATGTAAAATCGTTTCATATATATAACAGTCCGCGCGTACGAGAGTGTGAACGCGCACACGATCGTGACGTTTAACGACGCCTATCGAGAGAATAACGATTGAGCCATGATTTTCAATGCTCTTGTGTGCGTGTGTTGCAGGTTGCTCTGGCGCTGCTACTGCAGTTCGCCTTGGTATGGAGCAAGGCAGTGGTTGATCCGCAGCAGAGGCTGACGCAGCTCACACCTCCGCAATCGCAGCAGCCGGCTATACCGTAAGTCCTCTTCGTCTTCGTTTTTTTTTCTTCATTTAAAGCACGTCCCGTACTTGCACTTTTATTTTCACTTTCCTTGCGGACGAGAAGCTCTCCGAGTCGTCGACGACAACTCGCTAATTATCCGGCGAATGAAAGTGACATGCTCGCGCGCACGCATTTCGTTCGTCGTCATTGCTCTCTCGCGCTCTGCGCTACCACAACCTACGAGGCTTAACGGCGCTGGAGCGTCAACCGTTCGTTAGTGCCAATTAGCTGTATATATAAAAGTCTGTCGCGATCGCGAATACCCATTACCCCCTCCGCCCGAGGAACGACTACTATACCACTCGACTATAATATCGTGTGTGTTGTAATTGTACGCAGAAGCTGATCTCTCGCAAAATACTCGGGATATATACGTCTCATTGTACCCACGGGTCCTATCTACAACAACGAGAACAACTACTAGGACTGCTACGACTACTCCGTCATTATGAGGCTCATTCGCACGTGCGCGCAACCGAATGAGTCTTAATTCTTACTTTCTGCCGCAGCTCTTGAATCGCTACATTTTTAATGCCATTGTCTGCCGGTGGTTCGCGCGCAAAATAATATACATCCTACGCGAGGCCTCGAGCGCGCCTCGGAAAAGCCTCTATATTTTATGCTCCCCTTTGGAAAGTCGACGACGACTAGCTACCAAGACTACGACTACGAACGACGACTAGTTTTCGCCAACTTTACTTTACGACGTTGAAAAGAGGAGAAACAAAAAAAATAAGCTCGGGATTTTCGAAGCAGTCGCTTTGGCCATAGCCACTTCGAATATGATTAACGCGAAAAATCATCATCCGCGCCGAGGTATTAGACGCTGAAATATATTTGCGAGGCTTGTATGCATACAACGTACACGTCGGTGCAGCGTACGTATTATAAGGGAAAGAGAAAGTTGGCGATCATCCGCGCAAGATCGAATTCTTGGCGAGTAAGAGCGTAAGAAAATCATATAGATCGATCATGTTCGAGCTCGCGAGCGGCCCACTCGGGGTTACCTAATGCCGATATATCGTGCTTATAATGATGATAAATTTATCCGACGCGCCGCTAGTCTCCAAACGGCCCGAGACGACGGCCCGTCACGACGTCTCTCTCTCTCTCTTTTGCGTTCGCTTCGCGGATGTATGATTTAGCTCTTTGTCTATCCGCGTGTATGCACATTATAAAGTCGTGGAAGCGATATCGCGCAAAAATGTACCTCATTGACCCGCGACGACGTCTTATAAGTTGCTGGAAATGTTTAATCGTCCTCGGGAATGCAGTCGGACGCGCTGTACATTCGTTGGCTGGAAAAAATGCACCCTCTCGAAACCAAGTCGCGAGGACAGCGCACATAATATAGGGGAAAGTTGAGCGAGGAAAGCCTTCTAAATTTGTATAACTCGCGCACTAGAGAGTACATACTTGCATTCGCGTACATGTGTGCGCGCGTGTCTACACGAGGTCGTGCCGCGTATCTCACTGGACGAGTATTCATTCTATACATATAGTTGTAGAATTTACTGCATTGCTGCATATGCTTTTCGAATAGATCGAATTCCCTGATTTTTTCCCCTGTCATCGACTAAAAAATCAACGATCTCACATGAGATTTCGAGAACTCTGCGAGACAAGTAAACACCTGTCGGTTGAGTATCTTTGCTTTTTACAAAATAAAATACCTCTTCAATTTTTAAATATCATTCAAGACAACGAATCAATCTCAACACCATTAACATAAATACGTCCATGCTTGTTTTTCTCGTTACAGTTACAGCGCGCAAGCAGCTGAAAAGCGTGTAGGCTACGGAGGCGCAAGTGACTTCGGAGGTGGCGGCGGCGGTTTCGGAGGAGGAGGTTTCGGCGGTGGCGATCACGGAGCCGGAGGTGGCTTCGGCGGCGGAGGTTTCGGTGGTGGCGATCACGGAGCCGGAGGCGGTTACGGCGGTGGTGGCGATTTTTCACCTAGCGCTGGCCACGGTGGCTTCGGAGGCGGCGCCCCGGCCGATTTCGGTGGCGCTCACGGTGGCGGCGGTTCGGGCGGCTACGGCGGCGGCTCTCCGGCCGACTTCGGTGGACACGGCAGTTCTGGCGGCGGTTTTGGCGGCAGTCCCCCCGCAGACTTCGGTGGCCACGGTAGCGTCGGTGGCGGCAGCAGCTACGGCGACAGTCCTCCACCGGAGTTCGGTGGTGGTCACGGTGGAGGGGGCGGAGGCGGCTACGGCGGTGGCGCGCCCGCTGATTTCGGTGGCCACGGAGGCGGTGGTGACTTTGGCGGTGGTCATGGCGGCGGCGGCGATATCGGCGGTGGACACGGTGGTGGCGGCGACTTCGGGGGCTACCCCGGTGCCGGAAGCGGTGTTACCGATTTCAATGGCCATGGTGGCGATTCGGGCGGAGGCTATCCGGGAGGTGCGTCCGACGACCATCATCATCACGACGATCATCACGACAAAGGATACTGGAAGAAGAAGCTGATCTGGAAGCCCGGATGGAAGAAGATCTGGAAGCCAGCCAAGAAACAAATCTGGAAACCGGCGTGGAAGAAGATCTACAAGCCCGAGTGGATACCTACCAAGAAAGCAATATGGAAGGACATCCAAGTACCAGCTTGGAAGAAAGTTTGGAAGCCTGTGTGGAAAGAGATCGAGGTCCCCGCGTGGAAAGATATCAAAGTACCTGCATGGAAAAAAGTTAACAAACCAATTTGGGTGCCGATAAAGGTCCCCGCCTGGAAAGAAATTCAAGTCCCCGATTGGAAGAAGGTCTACAAACCAATTTGGGTTCCCATCAAAGTACCAGCATGGAAAGAGATTCAAGTGCCGGCCTGGAAGAAGATCTGGGTGCCAGAGTGGGTGAAGGTTGGCATTCCTGGAGAAAAACATTTGGGCACTGACGCTCACGGCTGGGAATACACTAGCCACGATCTCTGGAAAAAGAAACTCATTTGGAAGCCACTTTGGAAGAAGATTTGGAAGACAGCCAAAAAGCAAATTTGGGTCGAAGAAAAGAAGCTGGAGTGGAAGGAAGAATGGAAGCAAATTTGGAAACCAGCCAAGAAACAGATATGGGTCGAAGACAAGAAGCTCGCGTGGAAAGAAGAGTGGAAACAGATTTGGAAGCCAGGTAAAAAGCAAATTTGGGTCAAGGACAAGAAGCTCGAGTGGAAGGAGGAGTGGAAGCAGATCTGGAAAACGGAACAGAAGCAAGAGTGGATCGAAGACAAGAAACTCGTGTGGAAGGAAGCGTGGAAAGAAATTCAAGTGCCCGCGTGGAAGGAGATCTGGGTGCCAGCTTGGAAGAAGATCTGGAAGCCAGTCTGGATATCCGAGTGGTTCCCCATCGACGATCATCACGATCATCACGACTCGGGATGGAAGGACCGTAAGGACACGGTACCTCAAGCGAGCAGCCAGCAAGCGCAGCAAGTTCAACTGCCCGCGGCGCAGCAGCAGCAGATCAATCCTCAGCAGTCTCAGTCGGTGAGGTGGGACAGGTCGTATCAGGTAGGGACTTCCCCGGCGGCCCTGACCTCCTCCTCGATGACGCACGATCTCGTGCCTCCGCCTCTCAATCAACCAGTTAATCAACTGGGTCAGCAATTTGGCAGTGCCGCTCATTGACGCGCGACGATTGGAACGACGCTATGAAGCGGCTCGCTCGCTCGGCGGCCGCTAATAGGCAACCTAATAACCTGTACAAAATGATTTCGTATGTTCTTAACGCAGAATCCAGTATGATGACTTAGCAAGATCTTCTCGTCGCCTAGACTGTATAATAGGTATTATAACGCTCAAGTATGGAAGCCAAGAATCAAAGGAAACTCATTACTCTGTAAATATTAATTGTTAAGCTGCGACGGCTGCACGATGTGGCGCCTGCACGGTGACAAGCCTTGCTTGTTCTTATTACGCAAGGCAAACTCGACTGAAAAGGCCCTTTTTTACGTAGTAATATTAAAATGTAATAATTTTTATTACCATTATTTTTTTTTTTTACAAATTCATAATGTGCTTTGTACCACAAGTTTGTCTGATAATATGATATGTATTTAATCGTGCCTTCATCTATCAACTTTTGTATTACCAATGGATGTTTTTTTTTTCATCGCCATGCGAGGGTTCGTCATGATCTATTCTTTATTTTTATACTTTTCTTTTTTACATTTTCCACTCTCATGAATTGTTACCATCTTTTCTTCTATTCTTTCAAATACGCAATGTGTCAGTTCTCTTAATATCGTGTTGTGTCCAAACATATTGTTAACTAATGCTATTAAATAAAGTTGATTAATTTTTGTTAAAAATAATTGTAATTCATTGCTCACGTCGTCACCTTTCATAAAAAAAACACGAATAATTAAAATAAGACCTATCGAACGATCGAAAATTTTCACTTTTACTCGTGGCTAAAAAAAAATCGAAATTTAAATCGGCTACTTATATAGCGATGAAAGAACATGAAAATAGCGATATACGTGAGGTATATAAAGCTGCAGCTGTCAACGTTCGGTATAGCACGCTTTCGTGCATACAAAGTGTCAACTTATTGAAATTCCAAACGACCGCAAAAAGAGAGCTGCAATAATGTTTATGATAAAAACGAAGGCGACGCGCACCTTCCTGCTTTTTAATCCTCATTCGTCATCATCATCGTACGCTCGGCTACGCGTATAATAACGCATGGCAGCCAGGCACCTGACGCAATGCAAATAAAGCCGATTACTCGAGTGTGTGTGTGTGTGTGTACCTTTCTGCAATCTGCCTGCCAATACACACAAACAAACACGAGCGCGAAACTTTACATCTACAGCGTAGATGTGTGTGTGTGTGTGTGTGTGTGTGTGTGTGTGTGTGTGTGTGTGTGTGTGTGTGTGTGTGTGTGTGTGTAAGCGAACATGTGTTCGTATGAGTGTAATACCATCGCGGAATCGTAGTGTAAGGTGAAAGTACATAAACATCTAGTACCTGTGGTGCAGCGCGCGGCAAGGACGGAAACGATTCTTGTGCCCGGGCTCAAGTGTTGCATACGTACGCGTCGAGTGAAAGTAAGAGAGAAGATATATATGTGTATCGTTATAAAAGTCACCCGCACGACGACGACGCAAACGACATCCAACACTGGCGACGGCGGGGGGCCCAACATTTAAATCCATAAATTAATTCGCCAAACTATGCAAGCTATCAAGTGGCAATGTACCATGATGAACTATCTTTCGCAGGGTGAAACCGTTGCGTCGTCGCCCAGCGAGTGTCTGTATGTGGTACGTGAGATGATCACCGGATGATAAGCAGAAGCCGACGAGCCATAAGCGACACTGTCAATAAAAATTCGAGCAAGAGTAATATTGACCGAAACCCGTACCCCGGGCAGCAAACAACTCCTCGTAATTCACGCTAATTTAGAAATTTTTCAGCCTGCTTAGGCAAATTCGAGAGTGCAAAACGCTCGCGAGAGTTTTCGGACCAGTTAGTGTATAATTACGCGCCGAGGTGGTATACGCGCGGGGTCACGCTCGCAAAGCGCAGCCCAAGCAAAAAAAAATTACGTAATGACAGTTGAGGCCGACGAATGATACGGCTGTAATTCGCAAAATTTGACTTCGCACGAACTTACATACATAAGGATACACACCTTTATCTAAAGCGTAATCCTCTTAATGGAGCCTCGACTGCAGCTCGCGCACTACGCGGACTTTCATAACGTACACATACGCTGGGCTCGGATCAAACGTTTCACGATCGAGATAAGTACATACGGAGTGCGCGAAATAAATGAAAGCTCCGGCCAGCATGGTATCTCGAGCGTCTAATAATAAGACAATAGCTTAATGTCCGATCATCGAAAATCGTAAATCATACGGCCGTTTGAGGCTATACAAAAGATTAATCATAAGTACACACTTAGGCCACGCACAACCTTTTGATACATCGACTTGCGACTTGTTTTGAAGGGAACGAATGCTGCTGCCACCATCAAATTATATGACTAAATAAGCTTGCACGAAACGAAAATGCGAGTTAACTGGCAACAATTTTAGCTTTTTTTCAACTGCGACTGTATAACACGGAAAAATCAAATTTTAGACAAATAATGTGAAAGTAAGTTCAGAGCCGAACGATTAATTTTTTACAAACCCAAACATGCATCGTTACGCTGATACAAGTATTCAAAAAACGATAATTTGCGCTTATTGGAGCTATGAAAGTATTCATTAAAACACGTGGAAACATTGGCTGTTATAGAAAACAGTGTTTTAAAAGTTAGTGTATTCAAATTAAATCAACCAGACATCCAAAATTAAAACTTACAACAAATTTCTTTTGAAGTAATCAGGTTACTTTTAAATTACTCGCACACTTGTAGAAGCACTTTTTACAAAACGGATATCTGACAATATTATAAAGAAAGTAATTGCATGATTTTATTATAAATAAATAAATCTTATGATCAATTCAATTGAACACGATTAATATAAATGTTATACCTGGCGTGTATGAAGTAATATTAATTTTTTCCAAATAACATGAAATATTGCTTTCAATTTCAACTCAGCTTGACGTAATACTTGTACTTTTCTGTAAATCAACCAAATCTTAGTTACCTCGATAGCTCCAAAAGCATCATTTATTCTATAATTTTTGCGACGATAATTTGCAATTCATCAATGTCAATTTTGCGTCCATGAATCTACCGAATCGCCGAGTAAGATATATAAGTGCACGCACTTTCAAAGTGATCGTTCGCTTCGTGCTGTGGCTTCGAGCGTTAAAAATATATATAAAATCGGTATTTTCAGTGTGTGATACTCACGTGCGATTGGAATTTATCACTGTCGTTTCTTTCTTTTTTTCTCTTTCTCTCTTTCTCTCTTTCTCTCTCGTGTAAAAAACACAGCTCAATTCGTGTACTTCGGGTATGTATTTATTGTACGAGCCCATCGTGAATAATTCATGAAGGCAGACAATTTAATTGGACAGGGTACACATGCACTTGTGTAGCACACTACCGAATTGAGGTAATATATTTTTTTCTCGAGTCAGTTGCAGTTCAGCTTGTCAAGATGATGTTTTCGAATTTTACAAGCACTTATGAGGTCCATATATTTTTAAACGGATTACATTTGGAGAAGTTCATTATAAGTAAGTATATTTAATTTTTTGATTATTCTGTCGCAATTTTTTTCAATGATGTGCGCAGATGAAATTTTTCAATGAATAAATTAATTTCCATCCAATTTTTGTCAAACTATTAATCATTGGGACGTAGATAATTGCATATTTAAAATCTTAAACGCTACTTCCAATAGTTATTTCAAAAGAATAAATAAAGTTGAAATCAAACGCAAAATATCACCGCACGTAATTGTACATAAAGAACTCTCATAATGTTTTCTCTCGAAAAAACGGAAAAATTGTTTTTATCGTTCGAAGTGACTGAATTATCAAACTCAGAAATTACTTCATTATAACGTATAACTCTAATATTGACCTGAAGATAAATATTTTCACAATAAGCAGAATTTTTAGTACGCTTTCATTACTACGTCGAGACTTTTAAAAAGTTCAATTAAAGTTGAGAAAACATTTTTCAATTGAGATATATTGACAGTGAAAAATTGAAATATAATCTGAAGTGCAAATTGAACTCAGATCGAGAAAAATTGTGAAGCGCGAAAGTTATCAGCTCAAAAAATATTTCATGAGAATCGGATTATACGAGCCTAAAATTTAATATAATATTTCCGGTAAGTGTCTGAAAATATATTATCAATATTAAAGATACGTTTCGAACGTATTTGTTCTATTATTAGCTAAAGTCTATAAATTAATGTAACCTTACAGATTAAGCTTATCTAATGTATTTTTTATCCTTATCAAAAGTTAAATTTTTTTTGTCAAAAATGATACTTCTTCTAAGTTTTTATTGCTCGTAATTCGTACGAAATAAATTTTTCACCCATTAAACGGGAATCGAGATAAACACTCGGCCTCGGAAACGTCCAGGAGTTTTGGAAAAATACGCGTATGCAGTGCACAGTAAAAATTGAACTTTCCCCGAAAATATAGGCAGAATCGGACGCAGCAACTCGGAATATAATGTTCGAACGGTATATTTTTTACGATACACTTGGGAGATGCCTGATGCTTGCAATATTTCGCGGAATGATTGTTATTGCTTTCGAAATCAGGTGAAAACGCACCTGGAGCACCCGGAGCAGAGATGAAAACGAAAGTCGCACGCGTATCTATATGTGTTTGTGTGTGTGTGTGTGTGTGTACGCACAGACGCAGCACGTCAAATTCTTTTTTGCAATTTTCATTTTTTAATAGAATAGAATCGATGCATCGATAGCCCGTTTCTTTCAAGGACGAGTAATAACTCACTGAGGGGTATTGTGGCGCATTATGGGATGAGCGTGAGAGCATAATTGCATTCCTATTTATAGAAGTGAAATTACTTATAACTAAAATTACTCGGAACGTTAAAAGTACGAATGTATGTATATGATGTATGAGGAAGCGAGGTGCACCTCGAAAGTCTTACGGGAAAACTTTTACGGTTCCGTATACAGATCTCGAGTGCCAGTAATGTAAAATATCAATGCAAATAATGCACTATAGTTATAGATTTTGCCCGAGCATTTAATTGCCTGTAATTTTTAAGACTTAATGATATGTACGCACCCTTTGCATAATCTTACACCTATCATTGCGAAATTCTTTATTCTTAGAAACAAGCGAAAATGGTACAATGGTCAATTGAATTTACCAGTATTTCCTGCTTGACTCTAATAAGTGTGTTTTTATAATATTTATACTGATAATTCTAGGAACTATTTTTTCATATGATTGCTCAATCGAACGGGAGGTCATTGACATGGAATTAATTTAAATTTTAGTCGATGAAACTGCTAGTGGCTTAAAACTTTATTATCAAAGGATAACTTTGCATTTTAAATGATTCGTACATACATTCGAATGAAGATGAATTTAGTGACAGTGGTGAGTGTCGCGTTTGGTATTTACGTCGGATCGATATCGGTAGAAAAGTGAAATTAGCATCTAAAAGATCCGTTTATACTATTAAAGTTGGCATCGTAAATGCAAAATCCTGAAGTAGATGGATTGGTTAAAGGCATCAAGGGAATTTGGAAAGTAAGTTCCCTGGAGTTTATTTAAGCAAATCGGTCGGAATTCATAAAATTTATCTTTTCCAACTGACTGGGGATCCTCTGATTGCGATTGATCGGTAAAGTTAAACGATTTTCTATTACTTTTGCAGATTATTTAATCTTTACCCACTAAATCTAGTACTATATCCAAAAACTGACGATGGAATATACTCTCTGGAATATACTAAACGCTCACCTCCATTCGCAACAAAAGATTTTATTACACAATTTTATCGTGTCTTGATAAAAGTACTTGAAATTTCAAAGGAAAAAAATATACGATTTCTTTATAGTTAAAATAAAACAAAAATTAGACGAGATCACGTGCTTGTCATAATGTTGACTTAGCATCTAGCTTCGGTTGAAAATTTGCATGCGATTTTGGACATTTGAGGCAATTGACTTTTAAGACCGAATTGCGTATTCTAAATTTGATTCCTCATACTCATGATTGAATATACATTTTTCTATAATTGAAAATTAAAAATCGATTTTACACAAATATAATCATCAATTTAATTGCAAACAACAACTTGTGACAAGAATCGATGCACTTTTGACTTCCAAAAATATACTGTAAAAATATTATTAGATAATAACGAAAATTCCTTGTTAGTTTGTAACTTTTAATATTAATTTTTATTATTAATTACTTTGATACATCATATAATTGAGATTTTTTTGGCAAGATTTACCACTCAGCGTTTATAACAAAATTTTACGTGCTGCCTTACAACGGTCTTCTGGGAATTGACTCTAATTAAAAAACGTGTTTCTTTGACCATAGAAGGGAGTAAAATAAAAGCTCAACGGTTACTCGGTGCTTTAGAAATACGTACTAACACTGAAATTCAAGATACTCTAAACAATCTTTACTAAACATAAAAAGTAATTTTATCGATTATCATGATGACTTACTTCGCATATACATAAATTTGCTCGGTGCTTTGTAAAGAAGTCTAGGCTGACTTGAGTCTTTTACTGGTTTCAGTCTACATGTATGTTCGAGAGATATTAGTCGCCGATAGCGCTTCTGAATAATGGATTTGTTCTTGTACAGACATGTATTTCTTTTGTCCATCCGACCATATATACATTGAGCTGTAAACCAATATCGAAGCTGTAGTCTAGCAACTGACACCCGCGGAAGATGTTCATGACGATATTTCTCCTTTTGGCTACTATATCGGTTTATTTTTACTGGATTTGCGAAAAGCCAAAAAAATTTCCACCAGGTTTTTATAGCAATTTTATATTTTTTTTATCAAGCTTTACTTATTTAAAAATTAAATGAATTTTATTTGTAACTTGTGAATATAATCATGTAGGTCCTAAATGGTTACCGATAATTGGCAGCTTTCCAACGCTGTATAAACTTAAAAAAAAATGTGGTTACGCGCATTTGGCATTCCAGGAGTTGGCCAAGGCCTACGGGCCCGTCGTGGGTTTGAAACTTGGAAAACACAAATTTGTCGCGATTTCAACGAATGAACTGGTTAAAAAGGCCCTCTTGACCGACGAGTTCAACGGCCGTCCGCAAGGCTTCTTTTTTCGTCTACGTTCCTTCGGCAAAGCCAAAGGTTTTTTCAACACGCAAAATCAATTTATTAAACTTACTACACATTGAAACTTCTTGAAACAGGTGTTTTGTTTACCGAGGGATCAATTTGGAGTCAGCATCGACGCTTTACTTTACGACGTCTCAAAGAGTTCGGCCTAGGTCAAGATACTATGGTGCAACAAGTGGAGTTCGAGGCTAGCAATTTTATTAATTTTTTGGGAGAGCAATCCAAAAAAGGTCCAGTAGCAATGCATACAGTTTTCGATTTACCTGTACTCAATTCACTTTGGCAAATGTTTGCTGGACGAAGATTCGAATACGACGATGCTAAAGTTAAAGAAATCCTTGACGTTGTTCACGACGTCTTTCGGTAAGTAAATGAATATATTATAGATTTGTTATTTTTAGTAAGAAATATTTTTTGCTTTCCAAAAAAATATTAGCAAAACAGTTAAATCATATTTAAATTATGAATATTTTATCATTATTGTTAAATAATACATTTATTAATTCGTACAGGACGAATGATACCATGGGAGGTATCATTTCATTCATGCCATTTTTGCGGTTCATCATACCCGAACTGTCAGGATACAATCATCTCGTGTCAACACATGAAAAACTTTGGGGCTTTCTCGATGAAGAAATAAAATTGCACGAAGAAAATTTACCAACGAGCCAGCCACGCGATCTCATCGATGCCTTTTTAATGGAAATACGTGATCAAACGCATTCTGCTAATCGTGAAGAACAATCTATTTTTGATAGTAAGATTCATATAGTTTGAAATTAAAATGGTTTTTAGATCCCGGATTAATTTATTATGATGTGCAGGAGAAAATTTGCTGATATTGTGTCTGGATCTGTTTCTTGCTGGCTCGAAAACTACCACTGACAGTCTATCTTTAATTTTTGCATTTCTTGGTCGTAATGTGAACTATGTGAAAGAGCTACAAAGCGAGCTTGATGACGTCTTAGGACGAAATTGTGCACCTACTTTGGCAGACGTCACTCGATTACCGAAAATTGAATCTTTTCTGGCAGAAGTAATTTTTGTTTCGAAATAATTATGAATTCTTAACTATTTGAATAATTTCATTGCAGGCAGCAAGATATCTAATTATGGCCCCTATGGGGGTCCCACACCGATCAACCAACGATGTCTTCTTTGAAGGATATGAAATTCCCAAGGTACACATATTTTGAATCAGCTCAGTTTTCTCGATGCACTTAAAAATAAAATCCTTTATAAATCGCAGGACACGATTATTTTAATGAACTTCTACAGTGCGAATAACGACGAAAAAGTTTGGAAAGATCCTCAAGAATTTCGCCCGCAAAGATTTCTCGACGAAAATGGCAAATTGCGCTCCAACAGCGCATCAATACCATTCGGCGTGGGTACGTAACAAGCGAAACGATTATTATCGATGTATAGACAATTATGAAGAACAAAATTTTTATCGGTCCCAATTATTTCCAGGTAAAAGGCGATGCCTCGGAGAAGTTCTAGCCCGACACACGCTCTTCTTATTTTTTGCGTCTATTTTACATTACTACGACGTGAGTCCGTCACCCGATCATCCATTGCCCGAGCTCCTCGGTTACGATGGCTTTGTTATTTCTCCCAAGCCTTATTATCTAAAATTGACGCCTCGTCAAACGAATTTTTAGCAATGAGCTCATATTTATTTGCATTATGCGAGTATGTTAAGCAACTCGTATCCATATTTTTTTCAAGGAATAGATAATATTCTATTATTGAACTGTATACTGAAGATGTCGAACTCAAACGATGACAATGAACTACAGAACTGATATTTCTATTATCAAAAACTTGTTGTATAAGTCGTAGTCGCTTTCAAATTCGGCACTGCCGACACAAGTTTTTGATTTTTTTACTTCTAATTGAGTAAGTGTGTATATAATACGAATGTAAATTCATGCCTAATGTTATAATATTTTAATATAATTGTCGAACTTATGCAATATAGAAAAATCTATGCAAATAAAATGTTATTTGTTGTTTTCAATTCCTTTCTTTAACTCTGTATGTATGAATAAATCATACCTATTAAAGCAACAATGACGCGCTAATAATAGTACTCTTACAAAATACAATGTGATATTTATAGCATTTCCGGAAAATTTAAGTAATCATTAGATTGTGTTAAACGGTTTGACGTATTATTGCAATTTATTAGATAAATCGATTATTAAAATCGTTTATAATTACACTTTTTAATCGAATGAATCATTCTAAACGCATAAATTCTCTAACGATTTTCAATTTGAAATAACTGACAAATTATTGACACTACATTCCGATAGTTATTATTCTCGCTTTCAATTCACAATCAAAGTTAATTACGTTTTCATGCCAAATCATAGATCTGCGGGCTTAATTTGTTACAAGTAAGCGTGTTGGGAAGCCTACAGTCAGGTGCTTGTAAGAAAAAGAAGTAGTTAATTACAAAACAAACTCCGTCATAAGTATGCGAAGTATATCAATTTGATTATTACAAAAATTGTCCAAAACGATTCTCATACTTTGATGCAAAGAAGCATTGAATCTAGATTAAACATACTCTTGGAAGAACATTTCGAGCTTTGCTGTAAATGCTCGCGCGATACACGAGGCCCAAAGAATTGAATGTCGAAGAAAGTTATTCGGCGCTGCGCTTAGAGCATTGCACAGACATTATAAAGATTACTTATACCAATATCACGACGTACTACACTAAGGCAGTGCACTTTTACTCTCTCACGAGAGGCGCCTTTTGTGCGCTTGAGCTATGAGCCGCCCCCTCATGTGTCACGATATAATCAGCCCGTTTCTCACTGGGTAATTTAGTTGTGTGTGTGTGCGCCGGGCTCGGGCATTTCGCGCAACTTCAATCCTTAATGCTAGATTATGTGTCCATACTTAGGCTGACGTTTACGTTCGAGAGCAACAAGTATACTCCTTATGAAATTCCAATGTTGATAATCATACGATTTTCTGACAACAGTCCAATATTTTGTTGGTCCGACTAATTTTTACAATTACAGATGGTTTTTACTATACAGATCTTGTGATAATACTAAATGGATAAAGTTCAAAATTACAATCAAAAACATACGCCTCATTATTCTTAAAGCAGTACACACAATATGGTAAATTATGTACTAACATCTACGATACTACCTTTCATTTTTTATGACAATTTCCAAAGTGTTAGTTGACGTTCTAAGGAAACCCTATGGACTTTTTTGGCGATGAAAGTCGAGCCTACTAGAGGATTTTTTTTGTTGAAAATTTGAACGATTTTCCAAAAAGAAGCTCCCTAACAATTATATCATAAGGGTTGAGTTGGATTTTTTTTAATAGGAACAATTATAAACATGAATTTAGGGATTAACTTTTCATGACACCAGAAGAAAAATTTAACATTCGATTTATCAGAGACTATATCAAATGCGTACCACATTATACCCATACAGATTTCTTGTCTTCCCTTAGAAGTTGAATTGCGGCATTTTTAGGTTCCCCCCTCTTCTTTTTGTCTTTCTTCAATGTATAAAAATATCAACGAAAATAAAGCGACCTATGATAACTTAGTTCAAAATCATTCATCGAACGAAGAACAACTTTTTCATTGGCTTCGCCCTATTTATTCCCAATAATAGTTAAACTTTTTTTTTATCAATACTTGGATAATTCACTTGGTAAGTTTTTTTATAATATTCATGTAAAATAGACGAAAAAGTCAGATAAACATAAAAAAATTTCGTTTGGAAATGAAAGAACGAGTCGTTTTTCTAAAACGTTACAAAACTAACATCCATTACATAAGTACGTCAAGATTTTGACTATTTCTGGATCGCTCTGTCTCTATTTTGACTAATAAGCCACGATTTGAGACGTTGTCATCTTTTCTATCTATCTGACTCAAAATTTTATAAATTTTTGGGACAAGCCGCGATATTCATTGATTTAGATTTTACATTTAAAAAAATTTAACAATATATGTACTAGTTTAAAAAAGTTTAAATTAATTTTGTTGTACGCAATTATTCGAATCCTTATTTAATGAAGTTTCATTTTTTAATGATTTGATACTAAAAAATTGTATTTTTATTTTATTTTTAGCGTACACGATGTTTGGTAAAAAGAAAACAAAAAAATTACACCCAGAAGTACTTAAAGATTTGCTTGAGAACACCGATTTTACAGGTAATCATTTTCAATGTAACACTGAAAATATCATATATTTTATAATTTCTTATTGAGTAGTATTTGTCGAATAGATAAGCATAATTCTGGTATCAACTTTTACGGATGTTATAAAGCATCGATACAAATATATTTCATATGATTTTTCAGCTGAAGAAATAATGATATTTTATAAAAGTTGTATACAACTTTTCCCGAAAGGACGGTTAACGCAGTGGCAATTTACCACTATGTTTGAAGAATTTTTTCCATTCGGCAACTCTGACGAGGTAATTGTTTAATTCTACAAGTATTATGTAACTAGAAATGATAAAAATAATTAAAATCAGTTGGCAGAATACGTATACCTTACATACGATATAAATAACGACGAATACATTGATTTCCAAGAATATATGTACGCCGTAAGTTTCATTATGCATGGCAACTATCACAAAAAACTTGGATGGGTGTTCCAATTATTCGATCATAATAAGGATGGGTTCATCTCTTTGATGGAGATGTGGCTTACCGTTAAGGTAATAATTCGTTATTTACAATTGTTTTCTTAGCTCATGCGAATAAAATTATATACGACGATTAATTTGTCATATTTTTTAAAATATTTGTTGATTAAAATTGATTGCAGGCAATATTCAAAGCGATGAGAGGTTTTGTAGAACATGAATGTACCAAGTCACTTTGTCGGCTCGTTAAAGAAATATTCACAAAAATGGATTTAAATCGAGATTGGAGAATATCTAAATACGAATTTCTCAGAGGTGTGGAAGCCGAACCGATGTTTTTGGAAATTTTAGATTGTCTTACCCTTTACTCGAAAAAAAATGACATTGTCTATACCCCAGAAATTGAACCAGAGAGACCAGTAAGATTAGTAAAAATAGAACATTCTGGTTTCTCGGAAGCTAAAAAACGTAAGGCAACGAAAAAATATACATTACAACAAAAGCAACTATCGATAGTAAGCGAACAAAGTGAAGGTGATATTGTTCAAAAATAAGAATAATAGTTGAGGTAAGTAGATGACAGGGCTTATCGGGTTTTAATATCATTTTCACTACGTGAACAACTAATTAAATTTCTTGCACTTTATAATTGATTGTATTTTTATAACAATTTTCGGCCTAACTATTTGTTAAATTATTCTTCAACTAAAGTAATAAATATTGCAGAATAAAATAATTCTGTTTAATGCTATTGACTGGTTTTATTAAATTTTGTATTCATTACAATAAAGTAGTTGACTATTTTCTCCTTTGGTGAAACCAAGATATAATAGAAATTATTTTTAATTACTTGCCAACGGCGCATCGTCCTCGGTTGGCAGCCAAAAATTCCCTCTATCAAAAAATCAAATTTTACCGATTATAATGAATAATGATAATAATAATAATGATAATGATAATAATGATAATAATAATGATAATGATAATGAATGATGAATAATTTAATAACGAAATTCAAAAAAGGCATCAGAAACTTAGCAGAATATGATTTAGAATAATTTTAATGGTTAAACTAGTTAATAATTTTAAATCTACTATCTATTTAAATCTATGTAAAGCAAGATCTATGTAAGTTGAAATAAAAGTTGAAAAAATGAATATTTCAAGATAGTGTTGCAATAGTACTAAAAATTTTTTCACGAAATAAAAGTAATTTATCTTTTAAAGAAAGAAATTTATGAAAATTTGATTGAAGTATTGACTTACACCGCAGCGCAGAGCTTCACCAACGTTGGAATGATGTTGCTGACAAGCATGGGCAGCTTCGGACAAGCATCTCTTGGCTGCACCGACAAAAATCCTGGCTAAAATTCTGCTTACAATCGCGATGGCCTATGTGATCGAGAAAATAATTAATTTTCGACTTTGATTACCACGAGATTTTTTACTTACGACTGGATTGCGATCATCGGTTTCTTCCTTTTCTTCGGCTTGAGCAGACTCGATAAGCACGGAAGAAAGCGCAATCGCGCACAAAACCAGAAACAAACGACTGAACATTTTGAAACTGTTTTCAAAGGCTGAATATGCCGATCTAGCTAAACTTTTGACTATTTATATTGCATCGCAGCAACGCGTTAAACTGTTAAACTGGAATGTATCACATCTGGCAGGTGGTCCCTGCATTTGTTTTCCAGGAAAAACTACCACTACTTACGCGATGCATTAATTATAAAGATCAAGCATACTTGTCAACCTTTTCAGAAATATATATCACAACTAATGACATTTCTATTTTACTTTACATACGAAATTTGCATTCAAAATAAAGCCTAGCAAAGATACTTTGTATTGCGTTTCTATTAATTATTATTTAGGTAATTTATTAGATGGTTGCTAGAAACATTTTTATTTTTTAAGTGATATTCGAGCTTAAAAAAGTTTTTGAAATTAATAAAAAATTAGCATTGAATACTTTATGAGTGAATTTTCAATCAAAAAACGAACTTATTGTTTTTTTAATTAAAAAACAATAAGTAAATCAAAATACATAAACAATTTGAAAGGGTTGATCTTTGAATCATTTAATTGGGTAAAAAAAATCTTTCTTCGTTTTATTTTATTTATAAAAATGGTCCCGTAAAAATCAGTGAAATTCGAATAAATTTATTAAAGAACAAAAATCAAAAATAATCCTTAAAATCTTAGCCAAATGTGAGTTAAGTACAAATAATCCGTCAGATATTTTGTTACAATTCAATTATACTTGAGCATAAAAAATTGATTGATCTCACTATCTTTCTGCAATATAACTTTTTCATTAACCTACATTTTTTGGATGTTCCAAAAAATATTGATATCAGTATGAATTGTCATAATTTCATGAAATGTATTTAAATAATACACGTAATTGACACTTTAAGAGAACGAAACTAATGACGTTTACGACCATCCAAGATTTATTCGCATAAAAAATAAAAAAGGCAATGTTTTGGTGGGCATACATAATAAATTGGCTGTAAAAAATGGGCTAGTAAGTTAGGAGGAGCCACAGCTCATATAGTTGTGTGCGTTTTTTCCTCGTGAACACGAAGCGCCAGGCATGCTACATTCGTAATACGTACAGCAGACGGCTGTTTAGCATATCAAAGCCGACGTCGACGAGAGAAGTAAAGTATCGAAGAAGGAGAAAATCGAGACGTGCGCCGCCAGCGCACATTGTCTCTTCATTAGCCAATGGCCGGTCATGCGTGCGCTATAAGCACTTTGAATTTATATCCTCTATACGAAATATATATCTGTGTAGAGGCTCTCGAGCGAGTCGCGGCGGCTGCTGAGCTATTCTAACTGCACCTCGAAATCGCCTGCTGCTCCTCCGTCTCTTGTCATCGTCATCTGCGGCGGCGGCGTGAGCCGAGCTGGGCGCGACTACTGCACACCCGAACGCGTATAGCTCCGCGTGTTTACGCAATCATCAATTAAGGCTAATAAATATACCGAGTGAGTAGCCGCTGCTGCTGCTCACGCCTCTCATACATATACACGCGATACATACATACTCTCGACGAAATTCTCGCACCAACGTACGATCGATTTGTCGTGCGATAAGTAAGCGTAGGCTGCTCACTCGCGAGCACGTGTGTCACGTATATTTGATCGGCTGCTGCGGCTCTTCTGCTGTTGCTTCTGCTGCTGCTGCTACTGCTGCCTCGTCGTCTTCTTCTTGCCATTGTCAATTTTGCTGCAACGATATGTGCTGAGACCAAGAGAAGATCCATCGACATGACAATCACACTGCAGCTCGTACTTCTCGTCGTTACCCTTTTTCTCATTTACGCGGCGGTTTTTGGATTTTCTAATAAAAGGCCCAACAAACGTCCTCCAGGTTCGTACTTTTTATTGTACCTACAATTCCAATTCTACTTGTATCATCACTGCTCAACGTCATTTACTTTTCTCCTCATATATTTATTTATTTATAAGATCAAGAAAGGTGTTCGAAAAAATGTTATTTGCTTTTTGCTTTTAATATTTTATTCATTTTCTTATGGGGTTTTTGCCTTTTTTTTTGTAAATAAATGTATAGCAAAATTATTAATTTCATATTAAAAAGTATCATCAATTGTAAATAATCAAATTTCCTTATGCATCATGCTAATTAGTCGTTAATTGCAAATGTCGCAATAAAACAAAACTTCACATCGTTTCACCGATCGTTGTTATACAATAAAAATCCACTGTGTAGTTTCATTCATTTACCGAAGATTGTGCAATAAGCTTTCCTAGATCGATTCACCAATGCGATCAATGAAAAGAAAAAAAGTTTCACTGTGTTCTTAGGCTGGTGCCGGACAACGAGAAAAAAGCCGAAACTTTCACAGAATCCGATAAGAAAAATAAACGTGGGCTCAAATATCTCCGCGTATGCAATCCACGTTTGAAAAAAACTTGTATTATGATCGAGCTCGTATTCGATCGACACGTGCACACGTGTGCATATGAGTTCGTCCGTCAGTGTCATAATTCACGCTCGATATAAAATCAATAACCGTCGCCGCCGAGATTATTTCAATTAAATTTTCGGATTAAGTATTGAAGTAAGAGTAAAAAATGTTCTACTCACTGGAAAGTATGTCAGTGTACGCAGCAGAGTTGAGAGGAATTTCCGAATACACGTGAAAAGTAACAATTTTTTGAAAGGTGACAATTTTTTGTTTTACTTGAAATTCGCACGTTTTGTGCTCAAATAACGAGATTATTCATTTCTTCTTGAAGTTCTAGCATAATATGATAAATTAATATTGGTTCATAGATATGGCATGCAATCCTTCCTTTACTTTAATTATAAAAATTGCAATTTGCAAATGATCCTTAAAAAAAATACATAAATTGTTGCTGCAGGACCATTTGCATGGCCGTACTTTGGAAACGTGCGGCTGTTACGCGGCCTCAGCGGCAAGTTGGGCGGTCAGCACGAGGCACTCTACCACCTGTCCAAACAGTACAAGAGCCCGCTGATAAGTCTGCGCTTCGGCAATCGCGACACGGTCGTCGTGTCGGGCATCAAGGCCATCAACCAAGTGCTCAACGGCGAGGAGTACGATGGTCGGCCCTGGAACTATTTCATCCAGATGCGTAATATGGGCAAGAAGAGAGGTAAGTTGAATGAATATGCATCTGCGTTTCGATGACTTATGTCATACGATTTATTTCCTTGCCGACAATCAAGGTTTGACGATGAACGACGGAGAAGTTTGGCGCGACATTCGAAGCTGGTTCGTGAGGAGTATGCGCTCGATCGGCTTCGCGCGGCGAGAAATGGTCGACTCCATCAAGGAGGAGCTGCGCGAGGTGCTCGACAAAATCAAACTCGACAGCGACGTGCGATCCATGAAGCCGCTCATTGTACCGGCAATCATCAATATTTTGTGGAACTTTGCCGCGGGCCAACGATTGAGCGAAGACAAGTAAGCCTCGCCTACCTCAACATTTCGTTGTTCAAAAAATTGCTTTATTATAAATAATCATTCTTATATAATTCTTCACCCAATAGACTAAAGTCTTTGATCGAGTTGATGGATAAGCGAGCCAAATCTCTCGACATGATGGGTGGTATCCTATCGGCCTTTCCCTGGATTCGTTTTATCGCTCCCGAATGGTCGGGTTACAATGTCCTCGTGGCCATCAACAATGAATTCAAGGCCTTGATTATGGTAACGAAATGTACCGAGTGCACATTTATTTCTTCTTCCTGCGGTTTTTGTTCAATAACAACAATTTTCCATTTTTTAGGAGACCATCGAAGAACACAAGAAAAACTACGTACCTGGAAGCGAAACCGATCTCATCGACATGTTTCTCAATGAAATGTACTCTGGTAAAGGTCCACAGGCCGGTTACGATGGTATGTATGATTTGAAACGATATAGATGAAAATTTTTATAATTTATATTACATAATCTAATTAAAAACTCGAGTTTATTTTTTTAGACGATCAATTGGTCATGATACTGGTGGACATTTTACTGGCCGGTTTGAACATCACCGCGACTACGCTAGATTTTCTGTTTCTCAACATGGTCATCAATCAAGATGCACAGAAATTGTTGCACGAAGAGATCGACCAAACGATCGGCATGGATAAATCACCCGATTTCAATGATCAATCCAGGTACGTTCGATGAAATCAACTTTTCGCCTTTGAAAAATGATCAAAGTTTTCTACAGATCGATTTTTTGTCTTTTCTCAGAATGCCGTACACCGAATCTGTGATACTTGAAAGTCAGAGGCTGGCGCCGGTCGTACCGGTCATAGGGCCCAGACGAGTACTGCGCGACACGTGCCTCGAGGGCTACGACCTGCCCAAGGACTCGATCCTCGTGATGAATTTGCGCTCGATTCACGTCGACCCCGAGCTCTACCCCGAGCCCTACGAGTTCAAGCCCGAGCGCTTCATTCGGGATGGACATAGGATTTGCGACAAAAATCTCTTCTTCTTCGGCAAAGGTACGATCGCATTTTTCTCATGTTCATAGAGTTATTTTTTTTTCAATTAATCGCACGATCGTGTGTGTGGATTGCCTGTAGGTAAACGCCAATGTCCTGGTTTGTCGTTGGCCAAGTCGGCAGTATTTCTCCTCTTCACGGGCATAATGCAGCATTACGAGCTGAAGCCCGTTCCCGGTAAGCCGGCTCCCACTTTGCAGTACAATCCAGGCATGACCATGTCTCCCAAGCCCTACGAAGTATTAGTGGTACCGAGAGATGCAACGAGCTAAGCATCGTGACTCGAGTTGCTCGGACAGCCTCTTAAGCGCGATTTATGTGAAGCAATTGTCATGACAGAAACCCCAAGGCCAAGCCTGCAAGGATACATATTTATATTAGGTCAATTTTATGAAAGTTTCCTCGTTTTACCAAATAATGTAAGAATATCAAAGACTTTCAATTGTACATTTCTAACTCTGAGCTGTGCATATTTTCATAAGAAAAAAAACATCTGCATGAATTGATGTTCAACTTAAGTTGTATAAGTTATTTTATGAATATAATATGTAACAGTAATATTTTAAAAAAAATTGAATTTTTAAAATTCACTTTTATATTTCTAGATAATTTGTTGTGCTTTAAGCATGTAACGTCTTGATTTATCATCACGCCAATATTTTATGAACAAATTTATTAAATTGTAAAAACGTATACGATTTATATTTGAAACGAATGATTATAATTTTATTTTAAGTGTTTTCCTGTTAACAAATTATTTTTCAAAAATTTTATGAATTCTTTTTATATCAATATATGCAAAAGATTATTAAATGAAATTTGAAAAATGAAAATCAATTTATATTGTTGTTTAGTTTTTACATACAAACCAAACGTGTATTTTCCTTATATTCAATGTTAGCCTACTTTGCAATTATTAATGAGCATCTATTAATTATGTTTGGTTTTTTAGAGTAATAACCAGTGTTCCATTCATTCACTTAATTCTGTTTATTTTTATTATTTTAGTTATAAAAATTTGTGAATTATTAAATTTTACAATTAGCCCTGTAAACTAATTAAATGTGCCCGTGTATACTATACAAATAATCTTTTTTAAAGTACCTGAATTATTAGATTACAAAAACGATACTTGACCATTATAAACATTTAAATGACTTGCATTTTTACAAATATTCAAACTAAACAAAGTCAACTTTAATGTTCTTATCCTACTTCATAGTCCGCCCTCTTTGCGCGATTTATAAATTGCATCCATACAGTCAGATTTATAGAACAGTACTTTTTAAGATGTCATTTATAGTACTTACAAAATAGTCGAATTAATCGAACAAAACATAGTTATAAGAATAATTACATTGAAACGATAAATCGTAGATAATTTTAAATTCTTTATTATTTTACAAGAAATTATTTTTACTAACATGTCAAAATAAAGTATACTTATGCGCATTCATATACTATAATAATTCAATTTATATCGATTGTACAGTTTCAAAGGAACGTGCAACAAATATGCATTTGGCAGTGTATATAACAAAAACGTTTTTCAACATGTTTTCCATAATTACAACTGTCAAAATGTTCGGACGAAAATTGTTGTGTATCTTGACTTCGATTAATAACAAGAGTGAGAACGAGTATAAGTCAACAGTTGAACTCTTTACAATCTTTATAAATATATTCAGGACGAATGTACAATATAAATTGGACAAAAGTCACACATTTATGCTCAGAAACATAACCATATAATTATATTAATACACACTATTTAGAAGATATCCTGAATTGGATTCGCTTGACATTTTTAAAATGTTATAAATTGTACAAATATTTAAAAATACACGATTTAATTGTATTTTGTTACTTTTATGACAAAGACAAATTGGATTGTTCACATGTACAACATTGAAAAAGGATTTTAATTCAAATGATTAAATTTGGTCGATGAATAGATTTTCTTATCAACAGATTGTGGCTATATTGAGTAGCACGCATCGCATAAAATATTACAGTCGTTCGGCGATGCACATGTTTTTTATATTTTATAATTTTATAATTGGAATTTATAAGTATAATTTATATAATTCTTTGGTTACAATTTATTATCTTCAAAATAGTTTGTGTATCAGTTCAGTCATCCAACTAAAACGTTTGAAAAATATTTAACAAATAACTAATTTGGATTACAAAAAGTATTTATAAATAATGCAAGTAAATAATTGCATAATAGCATAAAAATATTACCAATAACGTTGCATAAAGTTACATTTTTCATTTGTCTAAAGAAAAATACACTAAAAATGCAGATACATCTTTTCACAAGTGTTTCATTAGACAATAGATTTTAACTATATTTACCTATTTTTTTATACAGAAAATACATTTCGACTAGAGTAAAAGATAATTACAACCCCATCAAAAAATCATAATAAATTTCCATAACTTTTCATGAACACTTCAATTAATTAATATTTAAAACTTTATATAGAAAGCTTAGTCATTGCGTTTGAATGTTGGAATGAATGTTATTTTTATTATTAAATTGAATCTAAAGTTGCTTCATTTTATTATACAAAGATAAAAGAGTCTATTTACTATAAACAATGTATATATTTCAAAGAAATAAAGCAACTAGTTTTTGTTAAATAGAAAAAATTGTTGATCACAATAATTAAGTTGATGGTTTATTTTTACAAGATACCATGGCATAAGTCATTAACTGTTAACTTTTATAGTTGTAGACTTTATAAAAAAATGAACCTCTATGTAGCAAAATTCATTTGATCTATGAGCTTTCATATGCTCTCAATTTTTCAAATTCATTGAATTCTTCAAAAATATTTCTCTGACAATAACTGCCAAGTCAAAGGTTTTTTGAGATTATAATGAAGTTTATCACTGATTTACCTATTCAAGACCAAGGCTCCAATTAATGCATTGTACTACAAAAAGAATGACTGGTTGCCATGCAACAAGCCACCTAAGCCAGTCAAGTAATTGTCCGTAAAGAACATGAGGCCTTTCCCATCTACATATTGGACAAACAAATATATTCACAATTATAAATTATTCATAATCATAATCTGCAATTGCAATTTCTTTATTAACTAATACAAAGAAAATACTTACGGATTATGAAACATTTTTTTCAAGTCAACTTTTTCTTTGCAATAAGGGCAAATTTGTTTTTTTCCTACGATGCACCATCCTCGAATACAAAATTCGTGAAAAACGTGATTACAGCTAAGCTTATAAGTATTTTCAAGAACACCTTCTTCATGCTCAGAAACTAGTAATTTATTACCACATACTGCACAAATTTTAGGATCCAAAGTTCTTGTTGGCATACTTCCAGGATTATAGTACTGAAAAAAACATTATTGACAATAAATAAATGATACTCTGCACAAGAAAAATATCGAATAGTAAGTTGATATTTACTCCAATATGAGCTGCCATCTTGTCAGCACATATTTCTGCAATGTCTCTGCCCAGAACTCCAAAGTAAAGGCCGTAAAAAATTAACAGCGTTCCAACGTCCATCCAAACATGAGGCTTTACATCAAAAACAATATTCAAGCCGAAGAAAGTTGCCATCATAACAAAGTAACCAATTATTCCCAAGACGTAACTTAATTTGTAATTAAAATAAAACCATTTATAGACTAGCCTATAAAATAAAAAATAAAATGAAATTTATTAAAATTTATTTATTATAGACTATATCAATTAATTATTATGCTGTTTTGAAAAAATGTACCTAGGTGTGTTACCAGACATGGGTCGTTGAATTGATTTTCTTACTACTAATCCAGTAATACAAGAAAATAACAACCAGAAAAATATGAACCTCCACCATAAATTTTTCATACAGAGCCCAAATGGAATTAACCACATTGCCATCAATGTAACAAACTGTAATTAGATAAAAAATATTAAAAATATTATAGGACATCAATAGTATTTTTCTATAATTCAAAAAAAGTTTAATTTAAAATACTTTGTGGCATCTTTCACGAATTAAACTACATAATTCCATAATAATATAATACAATAATAAAATCAAAGAAATATGTCAAAATTTTTTCATTCAAGGCAGTTGCTAAAAAACTTGTTTAAAGAAGATAAGACGAAAAAATACCATTATTTACTCAGTGACAAATTAATATAATTTAAAATTTGCAATGCGCGTTTTTTTTTACGTAATTTAATGGGTTGTTTTTCCGATTTTATTGACAAACTTTGGATTATAACGTCGGAAACTATAAGGATACGGAAAGACGTCATTGCAGTTATTGTAAAAATACGGAATGTCAAACAATTACCTGATAAGACCTGTAATGCCTCTGTTTCCAAGTAATAAGGATCATTTCACTGATGATAACCGTAACAATTAAAATCAGGACCATTTCCGAGTGCATAGCCTCGTGTCCACGATGCATCTCGTGCATCTTTATGTGTTCGATCCTAAAATAAAGGGAAATTTCATGAAAATATGTTCGATTGAAAAATCAATAATATTCGCCTAAACGAGAGAGCAAAACAATCAGCATGAAAGGAAACGATGTATACGTTGCTTACCTTTGCCTCTCCTCAGGCGTCAAATCCGCCTCGCTCTGGAAAAAAACGTAAATTTCAAAATGAGCAACCGATTCGATATAACCAGGAGAAAGTCGGATTAAATAAACGCGACATTATTAGGTGCGATAGAAACATTTGTTTTATAGGTTAGACAGTAAGAAAGCTTAATTACATGCCACATATCGAAGGGTCGAATAGTTTTGAAGAATAAAGCTCACCTTGTTGGGCATTATGTGATAACTATCCACGATACGGACTTCGAGAGACATCCTGCGTTTGTGAACGGCGGCGGTCCGTGCGGCGGGTTTGGTGTCAAAGTTGAAACGACGAGCCCGTGAACCTGTACATGGACAAGCGCAGCAGACCAGCAAAAGCAACAGCAGTGGCAGCAAAAACTCCAAGGTAGTTTTTGGCGTGAACACGGAAATAGATATGCTGCCACTCGTCAATAACCCCGTAAGATGGTTACGGTTGTCGCTACTGCGAGATCGAGTCGACGGCAAAAAACTCAACACGCAACCGTGTACACAGAGAGAGATGGTCGGTGTGCGCTACTATATATGTTGTTGCAAATCGGAGCTGATGACAGCGCGGCGGCAGTCGCCAGCTGGCGGCTTAGCGAATCGTATATGTATTAAGCCTATGATTGCGCGTGGCAATTTCTGTCTGCGTCTGACATGTGCTGCTTCTGCTGCTACTGCTACTATCACCGTCGCCGCTGTTTCGGGTTTCGGCTATACTCGCGGGCCGACGACAATAATATCAACAATTGAAAAAAATGTTAAATCGCATTAACGAGCTGATAGCGATTTTACGAGTCGATACGCGATTGAGCAATACGCGACGCGTCATCGATTTCGTTCGCAATCGTTTTTATTCGCGACGCCTTTTGCATTGTATGCAGTGTATAAACATGAAATGATTTTGCTTTTTTAAAGAGACTATCGAATTTTCAAGTAGATTTATCGAGGCTTTCATCTGAAACTAATTAACGTAAGTAAAGCAGAACATATTTTGGATTAAAACAATTGTGTTCAAACCGTTTTCGTTCGAATTATGCAAGAAACGCATAAATCAAAATAACAAATCCATGAACGAGTTCGTGAGTTTTTTCAAGGCAGTTGGAAAAATGAGGTGAAATACCTCCGATAACAGCGGACCAACCGCGTAATTATAAAAATTGAGTGATCGGCACAATTGAAGCTTCGCGTTCAAGCAATCTCAAATCGGATTTAGCGCTTCGCATACACTGCTGGGCTAACGTCGAGGCATGCAGAGATCATTATTATGCCGAAGGTGTTTGCATTGCCGCCGCCTATGCGGTGTCGACTGCACTCGAAAATCCGCGAAACGCACGAGGCGCATTCGAGTCTGGCGCCGCTGCTGCAAGTTATTTCAGAGCAGAATACATACAAGCAGCAGTAGAGAGGTGGAAAACGCGAGCGGCGAGCAGCAGCGCGAATCGCGACTCTCAACTTCTCGGCTCGAGTTAGGTATATGCCGTACTGCTAACTCGCTGGCAGCGTGTGACTGTATGTATAGCAGCAGCAGCAACATCGTCCCTGCCCGCCACCGTCGTCGCCGCCGCCACGGAAGAGGGAAAGAGAGAGCAAGAGAGGAAGAGAGGAGCGCGCAAAGTCTGCCGAGACTCGGAGTGAAACGTCCGCTTCGGCGAGTCTGGCAGCATAGTCGCGGCCTGGGCAGAGTCTAGCTCGTATCGCTCGTACGCGAAAACACCTAGTGCCTCGCCGTCGGTGTCAGTGTGTGTGCCCCGTGTGTGCGTGTGTGTGACTGTGCAGCCGTGCTTTGCCTGCGAGCTCTGGTGTCGACGACTGTGTGTTTCGAGCTCCGTCTCTATCTCTCTTTCTGTCCTGCTGTCGTGTGACTGTGTTAGCGCACACATATACACTCAGACACACTCGTACGTACCGTACGAGACTAGTCAGTCGGTTTCATTCACTTCGCAGCAGCCACCAACTGGGCCAGAAGCGTAACTCCTCGCCCTTCGCGCCTCTCTTATACTACCGAAAATTCGCTCCGCTGTTTTGCTGATGATGATTATGCCCGCGAGAGCATAGATCGAGTAATTCAGTGACACCCTCTCTCCTCGAGTGAAACGCCAGTGTGTCAGTGCGTGTGTAAATAATATACTACGCAGAGCTATACCGAGACTCATTAAACGATGATAATGAAAGCAGTTATCTGAGAATAATCAGTCGCAATTTGAACGACGTACGCGCTGCTTCTATACTGCAGTTGCTGCTCGACTCGTTTTTGAGTTTCTCCGACTTGTGCCTCTACGTAATATCAATTAAAGTTGTGCGCGGCAGTGTCAGAGAGCTGAACCGCCGCGTTTAGAGGAGGATTGCAATTTAGACACGGATTTTGCGTGTATACAGCTGCAGCTCGAGAGTCTTTCGCTTCTCTCGCTCCGTTCTACGCTCGTACTTGGTCTATTCGTGCTGTATAGTTGCACACATAGCATACGTGAATACTGTGGTGTGGTTCGTTCGTGCAATACAGATATACATCTATAAAAAAAAGTCGTGCGATATACAGACGACGGTTTAGCCAGTGTCCAAGTGCACAGCAGTCGACAAGTGCAACGAGACATTTACCAGCTATATAAAGACTGGAGGGAGAAATAACATTCTCACATCAACTCTAGGTAAGGGCATTCTACTTTTCACTTTGCTTCAAAATCATTATACTCTAATGCAATTATAACAACGTAAACAACTACTGAACTCGTTGTTGTTGTTGTTGTTGTTGTTGTTGTTATTGTAGCTAAAAGCAAGTATAGTAGTTTCAAAATAATAGAATTTTGTCGGGATACAGCGAGACACTATACACACCTATATCGTGGTACGTGATTCAGCTCAACTTGACGCATGAGCACATAGTTCGGCTTTGTATACGTGCAGTATGTATATATCGAGGTATATATAGGCACGGCAGTCAAGTGTGTCCTGGCCAGCACGCGTAAATCGAGTACAGCGTGCATATGACATGAGCAATTGCGGCTGCTACTCCCATATTTTTTTGAGCCAAATGCTCGGCAGCGACAGCTAAATCGCGGCATTATCGGTCAGCCGAGTGTACGGTAATTTTCGCGAGGTTAATTATCTCGTGCAGTAACAACAGCAGCAGCTCGAGGTGCGCTCAGATCGTACACATACATACAATCCGACGTGCGCGCAAAGAAGAGGCTCCGATGCGCGCGGGTCCTCTCGAGTCTCGCGCGGAAGGGGATATATATATGCGCTAAGTGTAACGCACAGTGCAGCACTCGCTGCTCCTCGCAGTCATGCAGACTTTACGACCTCGTGCGCTATGTGCCCGCGCGTATATATAAGGTGTATATATGTGTGTGTGTGCATGCAAGAGAACGCTTGGATCAGTCGCCTCTGCGAGCTGCTATATGTACGTGTGAATCCGTTGTACACATTGGCTGCAGGCAGCAGCAGACTCGAGGCAGTCTCGCACACGGTGCAGCACACACACAGACATACACGAGCTTACAGTACACTGCCTATATATTATATGTACGTGCGCTTGCGTATATAGTAATCGGAGAATGGATCGCAGCGGTTCGCGGAACTGCATGCACTGCACCGTCAAAGTGCACTGCTCTCTGTCTCTCTCTCTCACGGCGAATCTGGAGCAGTGTCCTGTGCAGCTCGCTCGCTGCTACCCAAATACTCTGGCGCGCTGCTCCAATTTTGCCTCTCCTGCTGTTGCTGCTGCACGTTGGTATACATAATTCGAAGCTCCTTATCTCGGCACGCGGCGACTCGCGCATTCCAGTAATTGGCTCGGTCCTCGTCGTCGACCGAATTTCCTGCCTGCGCACATATGCTCCATGCTCGAATTGATCCAGGAGTATCGTGCGCTTATCGACCCACGAGCACGATGAGAGTATAGTGTGTTAGAGCGCCGATAACAACCAGCGAAACAAACGATCCGTATACACGAGCAGCAATATGTAAGCTACATTACTCGCCGATTGCCGAACGTAAAATCTACCCAAAGAGCAGCTCTTCGTTATAACTATAATATACGCTCGAGCGCTGCTGCTTCCCCTTATGGTCGTGGCCTATCCTATAGATATCGTTATAGACGCACACAATGTTGTACGCTCGCTCTAATTAGATTAGGACACGCGCGAAGCTGTTACGGGCCGCGCGCGCAGCAACGTCTTCTGCGAGTTCGCGTGCCCACTTCGTGCAGCGCGCTAAACATTGAGAAACGCGTATACCTATGTGGCTGCAGCAGCGCACTGCATCGCAGCGATTGTGTTGTATACGCAGAAGGAAGAGTTCATTCTCGCAACGCAGCACATCCGCGCTTACGAACGATGCCTGCCGACGATATATGTGCAGACGCTTTATAATGCCCAAGCGCTAATAGCCGCGTTTCGCCATTGACTCCTGATCTCTATTCAATACGCAATTATGCAACGCGTGTCCACCTCTTCGCTGTACATTCGTAGTAGTAGGCGTAAATAAGCGAGCTACCGGCCAATTTCTCAAAGTCACCCAGTCACTACAACCAAGTGTCTATTTTATCAATAGTCCGCGGCTTTAAAAATGCGACTCGTGTGTATATAAATACGTAGTATGCATCACGAGGAAATGCACGTGACCTTCGACGCCGAACGTCGACGCGCAGTCGGCTCCTCGTTCGTGTTTATACGCCATTCGACCGATTTTCGGAGACATAAAAATACCTCGTGCCGAGCGCGCACACACGCACGCATCCACATGTATCTATATAGTCCCCGTGTAGGAGCCATAATTCAGCAAAAACCGCAGCGACGCTTGTACACGAGCGCGCGTTCCTGGAATTCTTCGCTGCCTTTTTGCACGTATACTTTATACTACTTCTCTCTCTCTCTCTCTCTCGCTCTGCACTTATTCTGCACATTATACACGCCTACAACGGCTGAATTGCCATAGTAAACACTCTTGTATACGAGCAAAGTGTCTTCGAGTACTCGAAATGCTGATCATTTCTCTACTCCTATTTAATTTTGGTTTCAACTCTGCCCCACTGACACTCGACGCGTGTAAGCGTTAATTTAATTTTTCAAGGACATGCCTTTCATTCCCGATTTTTGAACGGTCAAAATCGTAGCAAAGTCAACATTGTTCTTCGTCTAAAAATTAATGACCAACCGGCGTCTCAAACATGCGCCCCCCTTGACGATAGACATTTCACGTGAAACGCGATGCCCAACCCTTTGAATAAGCTTCATTGGTATCCTTATTACAATCGGCTGCGCGGCTTTCATAATATTTTAATTAGACAGAGCGTGGCCATTAAACCAGATGATGCAACGACGTCGAGTAAACTATGGTAATCCGAAACCCTATAAGAAAATGCGAAAAATAAATCACGTCGATCCGAGTCAAGGTCCCTCCTTTTGATCGTGTATTCGAGAAAGTTGGTCACTGAAACTACGACCGGATATTAAGATCCCCCTTCTCGAGCGATATTGACTAAATAATCAGACTGATTTGGCGGGGACTAAAAATAAGTAGCTACATCCGATAAAAAAATCTCGGCACTGACTGGCGATTCTCAAAAGAAGCCGCGATAGCTTCGTCTTAATAATGTCATGCATAAAAGACGACTGAATCAAGTAGCATCAGCAAGGCAGACGCATGCTGCAATAATGTCTGGGTGAGGTATGAGATGTAACAATGAATTACATGAGGATGGCTATTAATTTAGGCGTGTGAGCTGTCTTTTCGATAAAGCTCACCCCAAATACAATGAAATAGCGCTACCAAGAAATATGCCTTACAAGTTTTATGTCGATCTTTCGTGCGTAATACTTGCGCGAAAGAAGATTCAAAGCTTTTTGCCTGTGGCAATGCTATACTTTTCCATCAACTATTTGCCCAATCTCAATTACATTGCTCTAGAGTGATTTCCCACACGCTTTGATTGGCTTTCGTTGGCGAATAAATCGTTCATCATGGAAACGGAATGGTAAGACCTCGATGCACATTTCTAGAGCATTGTCGCTTCGAAAGGATCAAAGCTGCGTTATGTGCATAGTAATTGTCTCGGCAATATGTTGGATGTTCTTCTTTAATATAAGGACGACTTCCGGAGCTCGTCGTGGAGATGCGCTTGCAATACAGGAGACGTGATTATGACTCGCACTCGCAGCATTATTTGGCATTTTTCACTCTCACAGTACAGTTAATTTTTTGCTCATTGCAAAGGTTCTATATCTTCATCTTCCGTCAAGTGGATGAGCTTATTCTCGAAGCTGTGCTTCGCTGCAAGCTCCCGCAGATATATAGGCCAAGTGTACCGGCACCTAAATACAAACGCACGAGTTGACTCGTGCGCGTCTTAATTCATTGCTATATGCAGAGTCTTGAGTCGCGCGCGAGATCGAGTCACGAGTTTGTCGACGCGCGGGAATCGGCTGATTCGAGTGTGTGTGTGTTTGTGTACAATGCGTGAGCAACGTCGCAACTTGCGACTCGCGAGAACAACGGTAAGTATATGTGTGTGTGTGAGTGCGAGCGAGGCCGGCGCTGTCGCTGCTGCTGCTGCTGCTAAAGCCAAAGAGAAAACTAAGAAGCATGGCGATGGAATGCGTGGGAATGCTGCCTTGCTTCGACGAGAGAGAGAGAAAGAGAGACGCCGCCACGAGCACTTGGTCGATCTGCCGAGAGAGAAAGACAAAACAGCACGTCTGCTCTGAGGATGAACTAGCATGTATATAGAGAGACAGCCCACGACGCCACCGATTGAGCGAGTCTTGAGTCGTGCCACTAACTTTTCGTTAACGACTCATATAGTATTGGAGCGCTGCGCAGTCCCAAAACAACCTTGGGTGTTTTTATGTTACTTATTATTATAAGCACGACTCAACGATGACGACGATCGCGTTCGGCGGCACATATGTATAACATAATATACCTTTATATTTTTAATGATACATATTGTTGTATACAGATGCGCCATCAGGCTGGAATTTCACGCCCGATCGGTCTCCCGCGTATACGCGTATGTCTCTATAAATTGTCAAGAGCGCGTGCAGCTGATAAGATTTCACGAATATAATAGTATTGGCTGTTCCGCTGACACCGCCGCGACCGCTGCCTCGTGATAACGCACGAGCAATGCCGTATAGCTCGCGCGCGCGATCCTATTTAGATATAGATAAGACACATTTTTACGCTTCTTTTTCAATCGCCATGTATGCTGCAGGTAGGGATTATTGTCTATACTCGTACGAAATACGGCTCATTGCTGCGAGTTCTGGGAACTTTTTAACGATTTTTAATGGCGCAAAGTTTCACTGTAACAGTATTATCAAATACATAATTAATGCGACAAAATGATTTGTTAATCGATCGTTTCTTATCTGTCATAGTCTCGCTATTTAATTTTATTTCGAGCTATTTTGTCAATAAATATAGAGAATAAAAATTTCTAGTGAAAACTACAAAATTACATTATCACCATGATCTTCTAATATTTAATCGTTACGATTTTTTTTCAAAATTAACAAAAAATTAATACCTTATAATAATAAATAAAAATGATACACGAGTTTGCATATCTTATCGAAGAAAGCTCGCGGATGCATTCAATCTCTAGTATCGAATCAACACTATTTATCAAGAATCCAAATATCAA